AAAAAAAGAAAACAATTTTCTTATCGATTTTTGATATTAATAATAATCCTATGATTTGTTTTACAAATAGATAAAGATTAAAAACAAGATTTACATAAGTCTAATAATATGTTGTGTAATCATGTGCAATGATAGTTGAAAATGATACACATGTTCATTCAATTAATCAATAATGCTTAAGTAACTCTAAAGACAATTTCAATCAACTTATCGAATTTCAAAGCATGAAAAGTAAAGCCCTTTATCGAATTTCGAAATGTCTATTTCATATTTTTCTTATGAAAGCATTTATTTTTTTGAAAATTTTAACCTCCAATAAACAAAAACTGTCAATCTAATAGCAAAATAACATGCAATAGAAAAAAAAAGACTGAACTAATTTTCACAAATGATTATTGTGAAGAAGAAAAAAAGATCAACACCATTCAATATTTTCATCATTTTCACAAGACTTTAAATTATATATTTTATCGTTGGACATGGTAACTATTATTTATTTAGAGGAAAAAAATTCAGGTATCAGATAGTCTTCAAGCCTATTGCATTCCATACTATTGGGAAGTTTCATATGGATCACTTTTTTTCTTATAATTTACCAAACTGTATTATGAATTAGGAAGCCTATGTGATATCGTATTCTTACAATGCAATCGTAAATAAATTGCATAAAATTAATCTATTGTTAAAGAGCATTGAAGTTCGAATACATGAAATGTTTATTCTATCAAGCTTATAATAATTCCTTTAATATGAAAACAATTATCAAATTACAATCTTCATTTTTCTTTAATATAAATTTAAAATTATAATTCTATAATATCTTGAAAATGTATCAATATTCACAATAATAATAGACATATGGGATATTTCCTTTCTCACACATTGAACACGACTCTATTAGTACATTCACTCGCGCATCAATGATGATATGTGCCCTTAAGACTAACCAAAATAATACTATGAGCATCTTCTTTGAACAGAAAAAAGAGAGAGAGAGGAAGATGACGTTTGACCTAATCTTTTGATGAACAATATATGATAACGATGATGAGAAACTAATAAGTGTGTCAAATGAATTTCATTTATTTTAAACAAATATAGGTGTTGATGATGAGAAAATATGTGAAAAATGATCAATAATAAAAATATTTTATCAAGATATCAGATCATTGTATATAGATGAGATTTAAACATTGAAAGAAAACAAAAAAAAAAAAATAATCAAATCTCATATTAAAATGAGATTGTTTCTTATTGTATTATTCCTAAATGAGCAATAGAAGAGATCAAGATTAATTGAAAATGAAGCATTTAAACTATGATGTACGAGTGTTTATAATAAAATAGTTCATTGACAAAAGTTATGAATTTATTTTATG